GTACTATTAGCACTTGCATTATCTAAAGTTAAATTTATCACTTTATTAACAACATCATAATCTTCTAAAACTTCAACAATTTTATTATAAATTTGTTGACCACTATGATCCACATCCATTAATCTAAATCCCAATAAAGATTTATTTAATTTACATTCGTTATCAAAAAATGACTAGTCACACAAATATAATTTTATTTAGCTCTACCACTCCAAATATCAGCGGTTAGAGCCACACTAACATGACAACTATGTATTTTATTTTTTAATTCTAGTTTTATTTTCCCAAACAATTTTATTAAATCATTTCTAGTTGCAGTTTTAGAATAACTTTTAAATCCTGGAAAAAATGAATTTTTAATAAATCCTTCAAAATATTTATCTTCAGCCATATTAATAGGTTGATCAGTTGCAACAATATATAAAGCTAATTATTCCCTATATACATCATAATTATAACGCCAAGTAGTACCCATATTAGTTATTTGAGTTTGATTGGTTTATCTATTTCCATGTTGAGTAATATGTCTATTAGCATGCCTTTTTAAAGTACTAGTACTATTAACTGAATCAGCTTTATAAATATTTTCACAATACTTGCATCTTGCTTTCTTCACTTGAACTCCATTTTCTATCTTGTAAAACTTATCAAAACACACCCAAATGCCTAATGTGTGCCTGTAGTTGGTTTTGACAACAGTTGATGAACTCGCTTCTGCTTGGATGAAGTTGGACGAGGATGAAGATTACGAGGACGACTTCTAGAACCACTGGGAGTTGTAGCAGCATGGGGAGAAATCGAGGGGATATTATGAGGTGTATTGGATTCTGAGACTGGGAAAGCGAGAATATTTGAATCTACTGCATTTATGTTAGTAAATTCAGGGGGACTAGGATAGTTTCCTTCATCATTGAAATCGATGGGATGGAAATATCTATCCATTTTAGTTAAAAAAAAAAAATTGATATAGAAGAAATAAAAAATTAAAGAACGAGAATTGGAATTTGGAAATATGAATTGAAAATTGCAAATACTAGTAAAAATTAAAATAACAGCAAATTGACAACAAAGAGAATAATTGAGAGATTTCAATAGAGATTAGAGAAAATGAGAAAATTTGGGATGTGAGAAAATATTAGAGTTTAGGCCCTATTTATAGAAAAAAAGGGGAAAAGAAAATGACGAAGAAGACCCCTCCAACTGCTATAAAACGGCTATATTTCAAGGGTAAAAGGGGTATTTGCAAAAAAAAAAAAAAAATTATTATTTAATTTTTTTCGTTTGACCTGCGGGTTGGAGGGTTTTTTTTTAAAATAAAAAATTTAACCCGCCAAGTTGACATATGAAAACCCGGCCCGCCTGGCAGGGTATATGTGGGACAGGTTCAATCTGACCCTCCTTTTAGGCAGTCCGGATTGAACCCGTCTTAATGCGGGCCGGGTTAAGGTTAACCTGCCTAACCCGGCCTATTTGTTCCACCTCTAATGATGATGTTGGAACGTGGGTTTCTATTGGTGATGCTTGATGGGATTTCAAACTATTGAAGCTGAACTGCGTCTTTGGTGTTAAACCTTGAGAAGAGCTCAAGGGTGACTAGGTGGTCTCTTGTCGTGAAGCTAGCATCATAGTTTGAAGTTTAACCAAATGGTTGGCCTTGGAAACTTTCTCAATTTCATCATTCTTCTTGATGACATAACTAGAAATACAAGGACATAAAATCAGTTTACTACATCACAAAAGATTGACATATAGCCAAGAGAAACTAGTGAACAAGTAAACGGAATAACATCTATGTGTCTATTACCTGTTAAATGGAGTAGCATTAATAAGTTCATCTGATTGCTTAAGTGACCTGGTGTTCGCTTAAGCAATCTAGTGTTCACTAGATCTGATTTGAACAGTAGATCGTTGAAGCGACAACAGATCACTTAAGTGATTTGTTGTTTAGACCTGTAGATTATAGCAGATCGTTTAAGCGACATGCTGTCACTTAAGTAATCTGCTGTTGTCTACAAATCTAAACAGAAGATCACTTAAGTGATCTGATAACGCTAGGTTGCTTGCTTCTGATCGATTCGAAGCTAATTTTCTTGATCTGCATGTGATCGATTCTGGCAACTGCTTTTCTTGTGGCTAGGTTGCTTGCAAATTGAACACTTATTCATCCTATGAGGAACCTCACAGATTAATAGAATACGCTTAACTTTTTTTCTCCCTTTTTTTGTCTTCTTGAATGGCAGATGAATGATAATGTCAAGCAACTCTGGTGGTACCACCCACTGCTCTTCTGGAGGAACTAGATATATCGTTCCTGAATAAGCCAACATGTAGTGGTTTGTCATATAAAGAGGGGAGCAAAGTTTTGTGTAAATTCTTGAACCAAATCCGGCTTGCATTGTTGTTTCAATGCTGTTACTTTACAGCTGCAAGTTTTACTAAGAAGGTTAACTATAGCATCTAGACCATAGGCGCGCACGGTAAACTCTTGAGCATTGAGAGGATAGACAAACAGTGCATTTGATAGTTCAATATGTCCTCGCAATAATTTTGCAGCCGATGGAACTAAGATTATAGTAAATTATCTGACTCCGTACGACGCTCATGGAACCACCTTGACAATGTCATCTGTATTGCATAAAAAAAGGCAACAATTGGAAACTCTCTTTCCATTAACAACTTCAAATTTATGGACTCAGCTATGTTCGTGGTCATGACATTGAACCTTCTTCCAGGAAAGTAAGCTCTACTCCGTCGCTCAAAACCAACATCATGCTCAAGATACTTAGCAATTTTATCATCCTTGATTCAAATTTGCCGGAAGTGTTCCTCGAACTTATCAACTCGATAAGCTTTTGCTGCCATGTACTATGTCTAAAGGAGGCCAGCACACTTAAACTTTTGTTTTATGTTTTCCCCAAGGTGCCTCATACAGAATTTGTGATGTACTAGAGGGTAAATAGTGGCAATACCCTTCTTTATGGAGTTGTGCCTATCAGATATTATGCACAAGTCATCACTGTTAGACACTATCGTAAGTAATTGCTTAAAAAAACAAGTCCATGACTTGTCAATCTCAAAGTCAACCACACTCCATACAATGGGATATGTGTGATTCTCGAAGTCCTCTGCAGTGGCCACCAACAATGCACCTCCATACTTTTCGGTCAAAAAGCAACCATCAACAACCAACACCTTTCTCGTGTTTACAAAACCCCTTATAACAGCACCGTAAGCAACAAAAAAATATTTAAACCTCATATTCTTGTCCTACTTCAAAGCCGTCTTACTACTTTGGTTTGTCAACTCAAGCATATAACGGTATGCTTCTAATACTGCATACCCATGCTCTAGCGTGCCCTTCACAAAATCTTGTGCATGTTGTCCCCCTTTCCAGCATTTCTAGTAACTGACATCACATCCCAACTCTGTACGCACATATCTTTGAATGTCCTTACGAGATGGACCTTTCCCTTCAACAACCTGACTTTTGACAAATTGTCTAGTAACATCAGCGGAGGCTTGTCGATGCTCGCTTGAAATATGTCCCAACCCACATGTCACGAGTATATGTGCTAATAATAAATTTTTCAGACTCCAGCAACCTTCTACAATAAACCCGCCACTTGCACTTTCGGTCACGACATCCAACCGTCACTACCGATGAATTAGACTTTTTAGTGATGAACTCAAAATTACCTCTCATGGCAACAAGTTTTAGCTTCCTCACCACTTCCTCTTTATTGTCAAATAAATACCCTACGCGCAAGTCTGGTCCATCAGTAAAAACATGAGGTGATTCACTACTACCCGCAATTGCTGCCTTTGAACCTACATAAAGGACCGTAGTGTTCTCTTCTTTACAAACTACCCCTTCTACATAATCTGTATTTATAGGAATCTCTACATCTGTGGGAACATGTATGGTTTCCTCCTCATCCACAGTTTCATTCTGCCCCACATGACCAACCTCTTCTACAATGTCCTCCTCACCACTCAAATCATTGCTTACTCATGTTTTTTCAACAAAGAAATCAATGCCCTCGTAGTTAAAATTAAAACCAGCATTCTCTAGACCAACTTGCTCGTTCTCCCTTTTCTTTGAACCAACTTCCAAAGGTTTACCCACAACCAAAACCGTTAAAATCGGCCTTGAACCATCACCGACCACATCAAGCATATATAACTTCACATCTTCATCAAACATTAATACAAAAGGAGGTACCTTAAAATTTGCAGGAACTTTGGTTAAAACATACTTCACAACTATATCACTACGTGAGCAACTCAACCCACCTCTTCTAATGATTTCATAAATCAACTCATCAAAACTAACTTCTGTAGTCATAGCAATTGCTTTAACTTGTTTACTCTTCCCAAACCACTTCCAGCGACTTTCATCCTCCACCCACTCACTAAAATATTCAACACCCAAAACAACTTGTCCCATGTCTAATAATAGCCAAGTACCTATAATGCAAAAAAAAAAAAAAAAAAAAAAAAAAAAAAAAAAAAAAAAAAAATAAATTATTAACCTATATATTAGGGTTGACAAATTTCAAAAATGATCTGCAGAGTCGCTTAAGCGATCTGGTATATCGCTTACTGAATCACTTAAGCGATCCAGTATATCGCTTAAGCGATCCAGTATATCGCTTAAGCGATTTGGTATATATAAGTCTAATCACTTAAGTGATCTGTTGCCATATACTTGATCGCTTAAGCGATTTGCTGCCACATACCAAACTTATATCAGATTGCTTAAGTGATCCATCAGCTCCAGAATACATTTTTAGCCATCTCCACCTATAATCGGTGCTACCACCCCCAGCTACCCACAATGCAAGAAAATCGTCAATAAATTTCACTCATTTCAACTTGCATTACATCAAACACAACCCAAGAACCTAAACCACTAAATCGAAATCATAACCCAATCCATCATTAAATCTTTGTAAATGGAAATATAAAATGCAAAGAAGAGATACACATACCTAGACGAAATGTCAGGAGAAGGGGGAGGCAGATCTTCAACAGAAAAGATGTTAATGGTGGAGGAAGAAGAAGACGTTAATGGCGGCAGGGAGGGGAGCAATTTCTTTGATTTGGGTTTGGGTTAAAATACAACAATTCTAGGGTTTTGGGGACATAGTATAGTTTTTGAAAGATTACTCAATGCCTTCATTAATCCTAATTAAGCCATGATTAGTGTTTAATTGTGATTAATTTGTCTTAATAAAAAATAAGGCCATTTAGTAAAGACTCAAAAACTACAAGGCCTTTTAATCTTTTGCCCCCGTTGGCGGTGGGGTTTTAGTGGTTTGGGGATTTTGTATACATAGTGACTATGGAGTGGAGAAGTTAATGAGAGTGTTGATTTAATTTTTTTACTTTTTTTAATTTTAAGGGTTTAAACAATTTGAATTTTGAGCAAAATTGTTTATTATTATTTTTTTTTTTTTAATAAAACCAAGTTTCAGGTTTTGTGTTTCTTTAATTTTAGATTTAGGGACTTTTTAATTTAAATTGTTTACTTTTAAAATTTTAAGGAAAAATTGATTAGTTTTTATTTTTTTTTAATAACATTGGAAATTCAATTTTTTGTATTTCTATGGACCAAAACCAAACCGGTTTACCAGATACCTGAAAAACCAGTTCGGTTTAGTTTCTACATTTTTCTAAACATCTCTACATTTGGATGTTGGGGATATGCCTCACTAAGAACTTGTCAGAATAGGCACAGAGTAAGCACCAGAGTCAGTGAACGAGTCGTCATCTACTAAACAAGAGTGGTAGAAACAAGAACTTTTTTTCCAGTGTCAGAAATAGGTCAAGTATGAGGGTTTGTACAAATGAGTGAAATAGCAGGTAAGCATAAGTTTTAGGGAAAAAATTGTGGAATAGTTAATGAAAAATGGGAGGCAAAAAAAGGGCGGGACAAGTATAAGACAATTTTTTTTGCTTTTTATATACTTAATCCTTGACAATTTTTAACTATCAAAGATTGAGAATAAAATAGTCAAGAATAAGATTCACGAAATTTATTTTTAACCAATTCCTTGATAGTTAATAAATGTCAAGAATCATCCAAAATGGTCAAGGATTATTTCAAATTCTTGACAGTTCATAAACTATCAAGAATCTGTCAAGAATTATAATTCTTGATAGGTTATTAGAACGGTCAAGAAAATTTGTCAACTCATTATATCAAAAAAGGGGGTTTTTCTAGTAGTGACAAGAAGTGTTTTGCAATTGATGCTTAACTTTGATTTTGTAATTGAAGTATAAGTGTTTATCATAGTGGATTAGCTTCATCTGGACGAGATAAGCCCACTTGAGCATATGGGATTTGGTGGGGAGGGTATGATCTTGCCATTTGGGGATACCAATCATAATTCTCTTTGATCTAATCCCTTTTTCCCTTGAGAAAAAAATTGTGTTTGATTGATTGATGTGTGTTGATCTTGAGATATTTATTTTAGTGCTTGTTTTCTAGATCTTATTGTTATGATCATATTGCTCCTAGCCCTCTAGAAGCTTATGTACTTAATAATTTCTATGCACACAGGTTTTGTTATTAATAATAATGTTAGTTGAATCATACACATATTTGCAGTACTTCTGATTGAGAACCAATCTATATCAGATCAAATTTTTTGTCGATAACAATCCAAACACATAACTTGATCTTAATGTGGTAAATCAGCAAAGAACTTGTATGCAGTGCAATAATGATCCTAAAGCATCATGTTTAATGTCCTCTTGAACTTGATTGAAAGTTTCGCTATGTAGAATGTATATATGATAAAAAATTTGTCGATAGCGATCCAAACACATAACTTGATCTCAATGTCACTACAAGGAAAAATGCCTTTCTTGACAGAATTTCTTGATTGTTTTTAAAAACAGTCAAGAAGTCTTTTCCTTGACAACTTCTTGACAGTTTTTCAACTGTCAAGAATTTGAGACAATCTTGACTGTTTTAGCAAATCCTTGACTATTATTAACTGTCAAGGATTTTGTAAAAATTAAGTTTTTCAATTTAATTTCTTGACTGTTATAGTTTTAATCCTTGAAATTTTTAACTGTGAAGGATTTTGGAAAATTGAAATTAATTCCTTGACTATTATATTCTTAATCCTTGACAGTGTTTAGCTGTCAAGGATTAAGATTTAAAAAAAAAAAAAAAAAAAAAAAAAAAAAAAAAAAAAAAAAAAAAAAAAAAAAAAAAAAAACCTCAAATTGGCTAAGGCTTCCACCCTAAAATTTTGCTAAGGCAAATTCTTTCTGCCCAAACACCAAAGTTCATTGTCAAAACCCATTTTCCCCAAATTTGACCAAGTCAAACCTAGGGCAAGAAAAAAACTTCCGCCAAAAACAAAATCTCTTCTTAAAAAAAGTATTAAAACGAAAATAAAGAGGGTCTGCTGGGAGTTTTTTTTTCCACTGGTTTTGAGGTGTTCAAAACCATTACTTGCTAGATTTTTTATGCACTGGTTCGAATGGCTAAAAACCCCCAAAACCAGGGTAGTGTACTTTTTAGGGATTGTATAAAACAACCAAATCGGGGTGTTTGATTGGTTTTAAAATTTTATTCCACAAATATCATCCATACAATCAAGGAATGAATTTCATTTTTAGAAATCTCATTTTAAGCAATCCCAATTATGACAGTTTTTGCTTTTTCATGAAATCATGACTTTTTATTAGACCTGGGTGTATGGTTGAGTGCATTGTAGATTTATGAGCATTGGGTTGGAAGGTTGAGTGTTGTACGAATTGGCAACTTAAATAAAGGAGGAGATTTTTTTACTATGACTTGCAGGACATTGCTCCTGTTGGAATTTTGAATTGGGCAAATATGCTATGCCAAAGACTTGAGAATCGAAACCTTGTTGCAATTGCATAGAAAATATGGGAGAATGCAATTACATAAGCTAAAAGTATGCGTAACATGCTGTGGTTGCTATAATAATAGTTTGCTATATAAGTTCCAGCTACATGTAATCACTAGTTCTTCCACCTTAGAAAGTTCTTCCACAAGCAAACAAACCCACACTTATAGTTTAGTGTATGTGTTCAATATCATAAGTATACAAACACTCGTTGATATGCATTTGTAGCCTTGCCGTCCTTGCCGGTGTTGAATGTAACACGTGTGGATTTACACAACTTTTTTCCATGGCAATTTGATTATGCATCTTTATTTTCTTTGGATGGTTTCGTAATCTAGTCTTATGTGGAAGTTGTGTTGCACATTCTTTACCTGGATCAGAGTTTACGCTCTTTTTCCCCTCGAATCCTGTTTGTTTGATAAATAGTGGCTTTCCATGTGATGGAGAGTTTTTGATGAATTTATTTTGGGTGTTTATATGGTCTAGCAACTGCCTAATCAATTTCTTTCTCGTTTCACTCTTTTTATATGGGCCAACAGATTGGAGGTTCTCAAAACAAAAGAAAAGCTAAGGTCTTGACTTTATTTTAGTACAATTTTGTGAGATGGCAAAGAAAAAGTGTGTTAAGCGTCTTCGGAAAGAATATAGAGCACTCTGTAAAGTATGAGCCCCCACCTTTCTGAAATTCTGTATATTTATTGACAATTAATAATATATGCATCCTTTGTAGTGGATGTTTGGTTTTGTATACTTTCATTTTTGCTTTTGTTTTACTTATTCGACTTAATTCTTGTAAGATAACATTTCTAATGGCCTAAGACATTCATTGCTTTATTTGCTATGCTAGAAAGTTGCCCTGGTTTTAACAGCTCTGGTATTTCTTCTCTTGTTAACTTGTAGAAACCAGTCTCCCATGTTGTTGCACGTCCATCCCCAAATGACTTCTTGAATGGCATAAGTTTATTCTTAATTCCTCCATTTTGTTGCTCAGAAAGGTGTTGAATTTATCTAATGGATTCATTTTCTTCAACTCTTCTGAGTGGTGCTATAATCCTTGTCATTTCATCTTTCTCAAGCTACTGATTTTATGTACATCTATAGGCTGACACTAAAACTGGAAAGAATGTGAATTTTAGGTATATTCTTGCTAGTTGATCATAAAGAATTGGCTTTGGGATTAGGTATCAAGTCAAAAAGTTCATATATAGGTTAACTCAGTGCTAATAATTAGGCTGGTCTATTACTGGATTTTTGTTACTTTTGAATTCGTCGCTCTGTTGTGAGGGTTCATGGCTTAATATTTCGATATTATTTGTATGGCCAGTGATGATTCTATGTTTTGTTTAGCTTTTAGAGTGGCTGGAGGTTGCCATATATATTTGGTTACGATTTTATGTGATTTTCCATTTCTCTTCATGCAACTGTTTCCTTCTGTGGTCTCTACTGCTTCATCGTCTTGGTTGAGTTTGAAGACTTTAACACTTGTCAAATTACTGAAATTCTGATATTCCAGATTATGTCTTGGAGGGAAGTGAAGGGACACCTTTTGCCGGATGGTTTTTTCAAAAATTGTCTTTTCTCCCTTGATTTTCCCCTTTCCTCTTGAAACTGCAATATGATGTTTTGGCCTGTTGTGAAGATTTATGCTGTTGGCTACATAATTCGCATGTTGAATTTGAGTTGGTTTATTTTGCATCTAGGGGCATTATCATTGTGAAGTTGCGTCGTGGGCAAGAACTGAGGCTTAGAGCAATAGCCAGAAAAGGGATTGGCAAAGATCATGCAAAATGGTCACCTGCTGCAACTGTCACTTTCATGTACGAACCAGAGATCCACATCAATGAAGATTTAATGGAAACTCTGATGCTTGCAGAGAGACAAGCCTGGGTTGAAAGTAGTCCAACCAAAGTGTTTGACCTTGATAAAGCTACTGGACAGGTTGAAATCCTTGTATAAAAATTACTCTAAATAGTCTTATCCATTTTAATAGCAGCTTCATATGTTCTCCTTGTATGTTACAGTTAAAAAGATGCCTGTTGCTGCAAGAGGTAATTCCGGTGTGGAATTGTCATTTTGCCCTTAAAAGACATAAAAAACTAACTTCACTCTTATCTGAAATGTCTGATATGAATAACAGTTAGAGATCTCCCCAAGATAGAGGAAAAGGTAGAACTAGATGCGGAATGTTTGTTCTTTTTATTTTATTTTTGAGCAGTTTAATTACACTGGTGAATATGAATGGCATTGATGTTGTTAGAGACCTTTTTGGTCATTCAAGGAGCACATTGCAGAAATTTTTGTGGGCTCTTCTCTGTAATATCAGAGAATCATTCTATTAGGTTCCATTTATTTCCTTGATATTTTAGAATGTTAAATTAAGAAATTTAAATAAGCTGTTGCACTGTGAGAGCTGCAACTTGTTTGTAGACCGCTTAATCTCTTTTTAAGATTTTGGGATATTTGAATGTGTTAATTGTGTAATTTTCTTCCATACATTTTTCTATTTTTTTTTCTTTTTGAAACCATAATGTGGTAGTTATAAGCATGATGCATGACAAGGGAAAACAAATGCTCTTGTCTTCACAAGGGACACATTTTGCAGGTTGGTTTTTTCAAAAATTGTCTTTTTATGATGAAGTCAAAGCAGAATGGGCGGTGTACATATCAAACTTTTTTTAGTTATTATTATTTCAGTGATGTCAGAGGCCAATAAGGGCAAAAACTATGTATCAAACTTTTCATTATTAAATTGATAACTTTTCATTGTTATTTATGCAATATTGTAAAATTTATATTGTTGTTCTATTTTGTTTATTGAAAGCAATAGTAATATATGTACTATTCGATCAATTGTTCGATGTCTCGTTACATAAGATGTCTCATTATAGTAATATAGTACTTATGGCTTAGTAAGGCCAATGAGAGAGCTAAGACTCATAACAAGTGAGCTCCGTTAGGGCGCTTGTGTCCATCTCTCTCCTTTGTTGGGTTTTCTATTGGATGTTTGTTCCCATTCTTATATTTAAAAAGATAAATATATTTGTTATGGTCTTCTTTAGACCTCTTCTGGGGTATGCCCCTAGTTTTGTATAGTTTTTCTTTCTTTTATGAAATTTACCTTTTCCAACAAAACAAAAATAGGGCTAAGGTTTTTTTTTTTTTTTTTTTTTTAGATTTATTTCTCACTTCTTGTGGCCACATTAAAACATAAACTATGTCAAATTTATTTGTATACCAAAGACGACTATATATTTAATTGGGTTAAGTTGAGTTACTGTGATGCATATTGATCAAATTAAATATCCGAAAATATCTTCTTCTTTTTTTTTTTTATGAAAAATTGATGGAATTGGAATTAAATTTACATAGTTTTGGTTTGAAAATATATGATGTGCCCACTTGAGTAAGAAAGGCTCTGTCACTCAAACATAAACCAAAAACTTAAAATCCATCAATTTGTGGGCCAACACCATCAGCCGAATAAGAGTCACATTGAACGTCAATTGCACATTTTGGAACTACGGCTAATGGATTTGCTATTGAATGAAATTGAAAATTTAGCTAAATCATTGACAGTTTAATAATTGTCAAGGATTGGGTTAAAGTTTTACTAAATTTTTGATAATATGAATTGTCGATGATCTGTCAAAAGGTCTTTGACAGTTCAAAGACTATCATGACCCTTTCTTAACAAGGGTTATAATGACAGTTCAAAAACTATCATTGTACCCCCTTCTTTGGCGTGTGAGTTCCTTGCCTCACAAGGAAAAGTAACATAGAAACCACCGGGAAATAGAGACCATAAAGGAATCAATTCTGGGGATTATGCTGATTGAAATCAAGAAAAGGGGTCCAATGTGGGAGATGCATGACTGGTCAGAAGTCTATCATAAAGTTTTGAAGCCTCATTTGGTTGGCTTGAATTCATGTTTCAAAATTTTCACTGTAAATTTCAACAAGATCAGATTCCCACAACTACAGAAATCTTCTGGTGGCTGTTGATCTTGACTTTCAACCCAATATTTTACAGACAGAGCCTTCCTTTTAAGTTGAAGAACTATTAATTTTTAGTGACCAAATTACACCATACTTTTATTATCATAGGTATAATTCTTGCTAACCATATAGTATTGAAATTATAAATGTCTTGTAACTTAAAGTTCATTTTTGAATGGAGCAAAATACTCACATGCGCCTGCTCGCGCAATCTGCCAAAAAGGTGTGTTGCAACTTGCAAATGCACCATGGATGATGGATGTAGAGAGTTGCCTGCGCACGTAATTTTGAAGTAGTGTGCTAATGAAGAGTTTTAATTATTATAATTAATTTAATTAAAAGCCATTGATTTTTTGTGTGGATTATGAGAAGTTACAGTTGGCCATAGTGAGATATTTTCCCAGTGCTCCTCCAACTGTAAGAATCTGATTTTTTTTTTGGCTATTAATAAGATAGTTTAGAAATACATAATCAGCCCTTTTGTTGCTTAATCTAAAAGCAGAAAAAAATCATATATGTATAATGGAAAAAACAGAAGTGCTTATAGCTATAGAGAACCATTATAGTGCAGTAGAAAAGAAAAATAATTTAGGGGTGAGCAAGGGTAGTGAGTAGAATCGGCACCAGAACTGGAACCTACCTGGAATCGATATTGTGCGGGTAGGTTTTGATTCCATTGTATTGGAATCGATACTATGCGGTTTCGATTCCAATTCCTATAGGTTTTAGAATCGGAACCTGGGAAAAGAACTTGAAATGGGTACTCGGCTTAGAACCTACTTGGAGCCTATTTGTGTTTTGGTTTTGATTGAGAAATTTTATGTGAATTGTGATTGAATTGATTGAATTCAAGTGTTGCCTATAGATTAGAGGATTTATGAGTCACATTGGAAACAAATGAACGAGTAATCGAAAGTTGAAAACTACTAAATGTAGGTTTTCTTAATTTATTAGGGGTGTATTTGTAAATTTTTAAGTTATTTTTTTTATTATTTAAACTAATAGAGGGTAATTGATTTTTTATAAGATACCCGGGTAAGAAACCGGAACCTACATTTCAAGTTCTGGTTCTTTGAATTTAAGAACTGGAACTGACAAGTTCCGGTTCCGATTCCTTTTTTTTGGAAATTTATATTGTGTGGTTTTGGTTCTAGTTCCCCCGAAAAATACAAGGTATCCGGAACCGCTAACCCCTAAAAAATAAAAAATCTGCACCAAGTACAATAATATTCGTAAGGAAGCACCTGCTATGCTTTTTTACTAGATCAAGAAAAACTGAACTCTCAACAGCTGTAAAAATCAAATCCATTGCAGCCAAACCATGGATCATTTTTTAAATTTACAATAACTTCGAAGCGAAGAAACGATGAAATTGAAAAGATAGGCTTGTAATAACAGGGGGCGAAAGTTCATTCAACTTTAGTATATATTATGCATCAATTGCTTGCAATTTCAAGTAACTTCGCCATTCATTTTGAAAAGTGAAAGTTAAAGAGAGATGTGAATAAATTAATATTTTTCTGGAATTCATAATTGGAATTCACAACCTATGAACATGATTACAAGAGTTAAGAAGAAACAACAAAGACATACAAGAAATTAATTAACTGATATAGACGTTGATAAGTAAATGAAACTAGCTATCTCTGATATGATGTTCAAGCTTTCCCAGTTGCAGCTCCAGGTTGATAAACAGCATGAAGTTCAGATTCAGAGAAGCGGGTGTTGTGGAATTTCATGATGAATTCCGTAGCTTTCTGGTCGATACGAGGGTCAGCAACCAAAGAGCCTTTGTCTTCATCACCTGGCCACATCCTTCTTCCACTTCCTGTGTTAACCTCCGATGCATAATCATCAGAAGGTCTTCTAGACCTCTTCGATTTGAACATGCTGAATAGAGAGAAGCCTTTCTTCTGTTCGTTGTTCCCCATTACCACAATACGAATGGATGCTAAATCCGCTTCTCTCTTCACACAATAACACCTTGAGAACAAAGTATACTTTGCTTAGCTCTTGTTGTTTTGAATGCATGGAAGGGAAAGTACTATATTTATAGTAAAAAAGTTGGGCTAGCTTTGAAAAAAATCATGAAAAAGAATCTAGAGAGAGCCGCTATGATTGAAACACGTGTAAGGTTTAGATTGAAAGGACAATAATAATAACATGGTTAAGGTTGAATTGACACTATTTTGGTAAAACTTGGTAGCAACATTCGGTATAAACTAATTTGATGTTAAAAGCATAAAACACGTTTTGTTAGTGATTTAGTTGCAATGAACTGTAAATAAACAAGAAGAAAAGAGAGTTTTGTTTATAGAATTTAATTAGTGAAAGGCAAGATTAGTGTTAATTAATCTAAAAGCAGAAAAAATCATATATTTATATATGCAGAAAGATTGGCTAGATACAAGGAAAAAACAAAAGTGCTAATATCTACAGAGAAGCATTATAGTGGAGTAGAAAAGAGAAACTTTGGAGGGCTCAAAATCATCAGAGCTCTTCTAATGAGAAGCCAGCATAAACATATATGGTTATCCTTTAGTCCAGCTGTACATAAAGGTGAACAACTTCCCCATTGCAAAGTTACTTTTAGGCTTTTAGCCTGGCACCACTTTCACTTTTCTATTATTCTTTGAATGGATGTTTAAAAGAGCTTCAACCATCCATAGAAAGAAACACAAAATATCTAAATCCAGAATGCCAAAAATAGAGTAAAACTTATCATATGGGGTGTCAAAAAATCAGTATTTCTGCAGTCTTGATATTGCTAAGCAACTGCAACAGAACTTAAGCAAATATTAGAGAGTTATGCAGCTGGTAATCAAATGATGGAGAGAATATTGACAATTGCGGTAAGATTCGTGCGCGGATGACCAATTGATGGAAGTCCAGAAAGTATTGATGTAACATAATTGCAATTGGTTATGTGAACTGTACTTGAAGAATATTTCATTTTCAGGGGGTTTTGAAACAACCATTGCCATCCCTTTTCAATACGGTCATTGCCTCCTGGGAGCAACTTCCCAGGATAACTTTAATGCATAACATTATTTCATGTCTGTTCTTCATACTGAACATTTCATTTCAATCAATTGGCTTTTCAAATCATCAAGAGGGACACCAAATTTTCATCATTTGAAGTAGTAATTAATTGAACTAAACGCTATTATACTTGTGATTGATTATAGTATCCAATGTATGAATTGGTTATCAAGCATCTAAAAGAAAGTATGCAGCACCCAAGTACAATAATGCATGCACGGAAGAAAGAATAATAAATATTGTAAGATTCCTGAACAAGAAGCACCTCCTATGCTTTTTACTAGGATCTCATTGAACGAAA